GATGGACGGTTTCGTGTTACTCATAGGTTAATTGAAGCGCCTGCTACATGGTTGGAAACAATTTCGACGTTGTCAGAAACACTCAGGTTTACGTATTCGGAGACACTTGGAAAATGGCCTATTGGGGATTTGGCATTTGGTATCAGCTTTCTCCTCAAGAGACAGGTAAGGACAAATGGTGGGATTTTGATTTTTCGTTGGTGTTGGATTTTTAAACAACTTAGAAGTGATGAAAAGCTGTGGAGTTTTGTGTTTGCAACTACTAACCTTAACTTTTAAAGTACAGGATAAGGATTGCTAAAACTAAATTTTTAAGTAGGATATGTAATTACAAAAGACAGTTCACGTCCTTAAAGTAGAGCTATGTTATAGTTGCAACCCGCATATTGTTCGACTCAGATAAATGACATGAAAATTGACATGAAAATTGATCATCCTTAATATTAGAGAAATGGATGGTATTGACCAATGCTATGCCAATTATGTGAACTTTTTTAGATGTAAGTAACATTATAGATAATTTAGTGGTTGGGAGATAATTTAATGCTTAACAGTTACCAACTCAGTACAAAACTTATGATCTTTGAAGAAATAGTCCAACATTTGGAGAGCAGTGCTATTAGTTATATTATATCTAAATGTATCCTTGCAAATAATTGACAATTTTATTTGAATTTTTGTTTTCTGTTTTAAGCTTGCTTGACTTCGCATCAGTAGATTGAGTTTATAATTTATAAATTTCAAAGTGTTATGCATTATCACTTTGGAATTTTCGTGTAATGTTATCCTTGGGATTTATGACTTACGTTAAATAATTCCTGTTTCTGCTTTCAAGGGATTAATGTGCTATTTTCTACAAAACGAGTCTCCTATTGAACCACAAGATTTTGCAGATAACCCATGCAGCATTATGTATTTGATCTTGATCGAAATCATATGTCAATCAGATTTTAAGATATATCAATTTTATGACATCCCTGGAAACATTGCATTCATTTATTTGTCTGGAATCCTTGACAGCTGAATCTGACCAGCTTAGCTTAACATATTTTGTTAAGAGGTTGCTCTAAAATTTTGGTTTTGTGGTAGTTTTAAGATTTTCATATTAAGTAAGCCACAATTTGTGCATTGTAATCTGGTATCTTTTTTTTCAATGGTTTAGTCAGAAGTTATGCCATTTTTGTTTGGATTTTGTGCCTCCAAAATAATTCGACTAGCCCAAAATAAATCTTTACAGTTTCTATTGTAGTTTGGTTAAGATTTTCAGAATTTATTGCTATTAGAGAAATAAGAATGAATTCTAAAAGAAGTAACTCAGTTGTAGCGTCTGTGGTGAAGAAAATTGACTTTGAGAAAAAGCCTGACTGCCTAATGGTTTTCCAGAAAGCCCCTACAACCAAACTAAATTTTATTTTGACAAGTTAAACTGGTAACTTATGCATCCAAGCAATTTTACTTCAAAATTCATGGTACTATAGTACTCAAACAAATATAAAATTATATATATCAGGATTTTATATTCTAATCTAAATGAAGCCTGAAATTACTAGACTTTTGAAATTCACAGAACATTGTTTGGAATGCAATATTTCTTTGTAGTATGTAACTTCAATGCTCTCTCTCTTTTTCTGCATTTAAAAAAAAAAGTTTGACGTAAAACTTTGTTAGTTTCTGGTTTTGAATGCTAGTTTCTGAATTATTCTTTTGCAGGGGAACTATCTTGTTGACAGCGTATTTGGTGGTACGGACAGTGTACAGCTGAAAGGGCCTGAAATTACTGCTGAACTTAAGCATCTCTTAAACTTGCTGACTCTGTGTTGGCATTTTTCAAAGAAGTCATTTCCCTCATTTCTAGAAGAAACTGGTTACACTGATGAGAATGTCCTTCTTCGAGAAGCAAAAGCCGGAGTAAGTCTTATTTGAATTTTTGAGAAAAACACTAAAAAATCAATATGGAGTTGATAATTATTTACCTTCAGTTTCTTTTAAGGAAGGATGCCATTCAATGTTATTTTAGACAGAGAAATATGAGATTAAAGGGGGGGTAATTATGGCTATGAGGGGTTTAATCTTTTCTTTCCTTTTTTATTAATTAGTAAGGGAGTGAGGAGTAGAAGGCCACAGTAATACTTTCTGTTGTATTAGTAGCTGTATTTTGTTTTATAAAAGCATTAGCAATATATGTGTAAACTTGCCTGTTATTTGTCATGCAGATTTTGAAACCAGCTTTTACAATCATAGTTGATCACAAGATGAGGCGTCTTTTATTGTTGATTCGTGGCACACATAGTATCAAGGATACTCTAACAGCTGTTACAGGAACTGTGGTACCATTTCATCACACTGTAGTTCATCAGGGGGGAGTAACTGATTTGGTTTTAGGATATGCACATTGTGGAATGGTTGCTGCTGCACGTTGGATTGCAAAGCTTGCAACTCCTTGTCTCCTTGATGCACTTGGCCAATACCCAGACTATGAAGTTAAGGTAAAAATGTTTCTTTTTATAACATCCCTGGCTCTTTGACTTAGTAATCCCTGTTATATTATGATATCATTTTGCTTTTCTTATAATGTTATTATCAAGGATTTATAAGTAGTATACATAGTAATCGTTAAGCTTCAACTAGTTGCTGCAGTATTTCTCTGGTTTTCTGTCTTACCTTTTGAAGGTCTTTTATGTAGATTGTAGGACACTCTTTGGGTGGAGGCACAGCAGCAATTTTAACATATGTTTTAAGAGAGCAAAAGGAACTGTCTGTGGCTACATGTGTTACATTTGCTCCAGGTCAGTTTGTCACTGCAGAAGCTGCAGTTTTATAATCAAATAATTCTGCATTTATTTGCAAATTGAAAGGATATTTTGGTAGTGTCCTAGACCGCTTTTAGACTAATGTTACTTTACACAGTAATTCTCTTGTAAATGGCATCTTGTTTATTCTGCAGCTGCTTGTATGACATGGGAATTGGCAGAGTCAGGCACTAGTTTTATTACTTCTATTATCAATGGAGCTGATTTGGTACCTACATTCTCAGCTGCATCTGTAGACGACTTGCGTACCGAGGTTGTGATTCTTAAGTTTCAAAGATAGAAAAGCATGCATCTTGTGTAGGAATTTTTTTCTGTAATCTTGCTTTGTTGGCCAATGTTCGATGATACTTGTCGAACCTGTAAATGTTGGTTTCTATTAACTAGGAGAACAATTCAAGAGTGAGGTTTTTTTCACATAAATTCAGAATACAGAATACACTTGATTCATTTTGTTTGTCTTCTTGGGTAATGAATAAACTGTTATACTGCTTGTGTTGTTAATCTCTGTTCTGTATCACATTGATATGATACCAGTGCAGAGATTGATTATTCATATGATGATTACTCTTTATCTTATACTTTGGTCTTGTTGCATCACTATGCTGCACCATATGGGTTAAAATTATTTATTCATTTTTCAGGTGACAGCATCAGCATGGATAAATGACTTAAGGAATCAAATCGAGCAAACAAGAATACTCAGTACTGTATATCGGTCTGCCTCTGCACTAGGTTCTCGCCTCCCATCTATTGCCAGTGCAAGAGCAAAAGTTGCTGGCGCTGGGGCTATGTTGCAGCCAGTTTCTAATGGAACACAGGTACTCTTCCTTCTGTTATATGACATCAATTCCCTTTTGTGCGACAAGTTGTCATACAACAATCTCTTATCTCCAAAAGTAGGATATGGTAAACTATTTGAAATGAGTCCTATAAAAAGGGATAACCAAAAAAATCTTAACAGGCTCCACTGCATTCCAGGACAGTGGAACTATTCGGTTACCACATGCTATTTTCTTCCATTCTATTGTCTGAATTTTGATAAACTGCAGGTTGTGATGAAAAGGGCCAAGAGTATGGCTCAGGCAGCATGGACACGTCCAAACCTAAACCTGACCTCTTGGTCATGCATGGGACCCCGTCGCAGAGCCACAGCTGCTCATTCACAATCCAAAGAAGAAGGTTCCCCTACATCTTCAGGCTCTGACAATGCAGAATGTTCTGATCCACTTTGTTCGCCCAAGAAGGGGATAAATGCCAAGAGCATGAACCTTCCTGTATCTTCATCTGTGGAAGAGTGGTCAACTGAAATTGAATGTGTAAATGAAAGCAATGCAGACGACGAGCTGGATGACGATCTCCATCTCAATGAGAACATGATGGACCATCACAGATATCAGGATCAGATGAGTGAAGTGGAGTTGTGGCAACAACTAGAGCATGAGCTATATGACAGACCTGAAGGCGAGGAGGCTGAAGTGGCTAAGGAGATAAGGGAAGAAGAGGAAGCTGCCATAACCGAGGTAGTAGGGCAAACACACAACAGATCTGCACCAGAAATGAAAGAAATTCACAGATTTTTCCCTCCAGGAAAGATAATGCACATTGTTACGCTCCACTCCGATTCTACCGAGCTTGAGAGTGATGGCAGCCCAACCTCTTCTACAAGTTCAGACGACAGCCAGCTAATTGATACAAAGATTGGAATTTTCCTAACTTCAAGGTCTCTATATAGTAAACTCAGACTTTCACAGACCATGATCAGTGATCACTTCATGCCAATATATAGAAAGCAGATTGAAAAGCTAATTAAAGAACTTGAGGAAGAATCTATTGAGGGTCATATTACACAAGAAGTAATGTTATAGTCAAGGGCATGTTCAGAGTTTTATATGTTTGTACCATACAGACTACATGTCATTGGGAGTTTTTTGTCCCCTTGATCGCGGAACTAAGTATCATAGGAACAGCAGTTTTTGTGTTGTGCTGCAGTGAGGAACTGAATTGGTGGTGATTTCTGCTGCCTAATATACTGATGGTCACTCTTATACTCAACCCCGAATGCATTTAATATTTTAATATCGATGTTGGTCGGGGACATGTAACTGTAAATGGTTCCCCAAATCAAAGTTGTTTGTAAATAATAAAAAATGTGGATGTAATAAACTGAGTAGTAAAAGGTTAAAATGATATCTAAATGAAATGATTTGGCTTTGTCGGTTGAAAGTCGATGTGTTTTGTGTTGGTGCAAGGTAATGAAGTGGGAGAAGAAGAATAAACAAGAATGAGAACAAGACTAATGTTGTATATCAAAATAGAGGAGATAAAATTGAGTACAATATTGATAGATTTGAAAATGCCAAAATGCTCTATTAAAGATAAGCATTGGGAATTGTAGACATTAACTAAATTATCTTTCCAATATCATCTCTTAATTTAGATATTCTATCAGAAGCTAACAACATCAATTTCATCTCTCAAGCAAAAAAATTGATCTGTCTTAACTGCCTTTGTCAGAAGATCTGTTAGCTGTTTCTGAGTGTTGCAGTGCAGAACTTCTACCACTCCTTTCTGCACTTGACTTCTGAGAAAATGATACTTCGTCTCAATGTGCTTGTTTCTTCCATGTAGCACTTGATTCTTGGCAAGATCAATTGCAGACTTATTATTAATCATCAGCTTCAGAGGTTTCTCAATTTTAACCTTCAGATCATGCAAGAGATTCAGAAGTCAAATAGCTTGACAAGCAGCTACAGCACCTGCGATATACTCAGTTTCACATATTGACAGAGCCACGACATGCTGTTTCTTAGAACTCTAGGAAATATGACCCCTCAGAAATTTAAACAAGTATCCAGAAGTACTTCTCCTGTCCACTCTGTCTCCACACCAGTCAGAATCAGAATAACTTACTAATTCTGGTTCTGTCTTTCTTTCAGAAGGAAACAACACACTATATTTCAGGGTTCCCTTGATATATCTCAGAATTCTGACAACAACTTAGAAATGAGACCACTTTGGATTACTCATGAATCTGCTAACCAATCCAACTGCATAACAAATGTCAGGTCTAGTATTGCATAAATACCTTAGAGAACCAATCAACAGTTTGAAGGTTGTAGTATCAACAGAATCATCATCAGAGTCAGAATCCAATTTTTGATTGGTTTCTGATGGTGTCACAACAACTTTACAATTCTGCAGCTTAAATCTCTTCAAAAGTTCTAGTTCGTACTTCAACTGATGTAGAATGATACCTTTCTTCGAGTACATAATCTCCATCTCTAGAAAATATGTCATATTTCTTAGATTTGTCATCTCGAACTCATTCATCAGAACTTCTTTGAACTTCTTTATATCTTCTGGACAACTATCTATTAGTAAAATATCATCAACATAGAGACACACCAGAATCATATTGTTATCATAGTGTTGCACATAAACTCCATATTCCATCTCACATTTCTGAAACTTCTGCTTCTTGAAAAACGAATCAATTTTCAGGTTCCAAGCTCTGGGCGCTTGCTTCAGTCTATACAGAACTTTATTCAACTTGTATACCATCTGTGATACGGTGGGAGAACTGACTTGGGTGTTTGCGTTTGTGTTTGCAAATATTGCGGTTTAGCAAGAGTCGTCACCGACTTTTCTTTTATCAAAAAGGAAAGGTGAAAAAACACAGGAAAAACCTTTAGAGATGTTTTTGAGTTCCGGGGGTAGATTATGAAAAGGGAAGGTATTAGCATCCTTTTCATCCATGGTTTTCCATGGGCTCTTAGTTACTTGCTAGATCACTTGCTTTTGTTTTGAAATTGTGCTTTGTGTGGTTTTGAAAGTATTTTGTAAAAGAGGTTATTGTTTAGGCAATCTTTGTAATGATTCTCGTTCGTAAGAATGTATACAAAGATGTTTTTCTTTTTTAAAAATGTTTTCAATGTTTGTAAGATGTTTGGAAAAGTGTGTGTTTGTTTTGGAAAATAGCAAGGATAGTTGTTTGAAAATAGAACAAGTAACTAGAAGCAATCTACCTACTCAAATGTATTTCTTATGCATTTTTTATTCCTTTGACATTGTTGTCTTACTATTGATTTGGTAAGCAACCCTATCTGTGGATGTAAACGAGACGGGCGTGGGTCATCGTATAACCATGATTAGCAATGTTGCAAAGTATCTTAGCTTTTTTTGAGGGACTAAGATTATTTTTGTAAGGTAACTCTAAATAGCGTCATCGAGGGACTATGATCTTATATTTATTTGTTTTACTAAGATACTTCGCATGCGTAATATGACCATTTTTTATAAGGCAGCCAAGTGGAGTAACCCTAGGGGTGCTTGTGTGCAAGTGTGTTATTTTCATGCTTGATTTTGTCTTGGATTAGGGTTTTCTATTTGTTGGTTTTATCTTTCCATATAAACCCTAATTACTAACATTGATAAGAAAGCGATAAATTGCGGAAAGTAAAATTACTACGCTATTATACCATTATGGGGATGGGGTATACAAATGTACAAATGGGGATTGCAAGAAAATTAAACCCTAATTACTATTACAAGACTTTGACAATTACATAATTCATAATGCAAAAATAGTAGAATATGCAAGAAGATGTAAAGTGAGAGAGATTGTTTTTTAGGGTTTTTTTATAGCAAAAGATTTTGTAATTAATTTCATTGAAGAAAAACCTAAGTCTAAGTTAATTATTTAGAAAATTGGTTTTTGAGGTTTAATTTGAACAAAAAGGTTTTATAAAGTTAGGTCACTTTTAAGCAATATAATATGTCCAAAAGAACCTAAAAAATCTCCAAAAATCAAGAAATTTGGTGCCCGGGCTGACACGGGCCGTGTCAGGGGACACGGGCACCCATGTCAGGACCTGTCCATGACTTTTATGTGTTTTTTGGTTCCAGCTATCCTGACACGGTCGTGTCACCTGACACAGGCGCCCGTGTCAGCCCCTGTTCATCTTTTTTTTGCTCATGTACGCACCAGTAACATTGACACGGGCCGTGTCGTTTGACACGGGCACCCGTGTCAGCCTCTGTCCCTGCATATTATCATGTTTTTTCAATCCAACTAAACTGACACGGTCCGTGTCATGTGACACGGACACCCGTGTTAACCTCTGGTCTGACTTTTTGTTAGTTTTTTCTCTTTGATCTATCTTGTTATATTTTTTGAACGCAAAAGCAAATGATGTATGAACAATGAGATCACAGTTTGAGAAAGTTTACCTCTCGAAGTGGAAGCTTTAGGACACGTATGAATGTTTTCGAGTGTAAAGTGGTGATTGGTCAAGCTCCTTTGAACCTTCTTGAAGTAACTCCACCCTTTCTTTTGTGCTGAAAATGGTTGAACTGCTCCAACCGAGTCAAATTGTAATGTATGTTTTGTTTTTGAATTTGGAAGATGGTGATAGTGATGTTACAGAAGTTGTCTTTGTGTTTTAACAACTTCTATATGGTGTATATGAAGTGTTTGGATGGTTTGTTTGGAGAAAACTTGTAAGGTATGAGATTCAAAGATTTGAACTTCAAAGCTCAAAAATAGAGGTTTTGTGGACAAATCTGGTTTTTTGACAGCAAAAATGAGTTTGAGTTTTAGTTTCTCCTTCTATTTTTTTCTGGACTCTCTCTATTTTTTCTAACCTCTTTGTCTTGCAAATGCTTCTTCTATTTATAAGCAAAGGACTTGTGAACAAAGGTTGAGTATGTTTACAACACAACATGTTATGATTTGGTTGGGATGTAAGTATCAAACTATATCAAGTACTCCATGGTTCCAAGATGAAGTACCAAAGTTGCTGGTTTAGAGGGGTTGATTTCCATGTTTTATGGTGGAGTAAAATCATAAACCAACAAAGTATGGGCTCAAGACAAACTTTGTATAAAAAGCTTACTTTTCAAGAATAGCAATGGTGCCTTTATGCCATAAATGGAAAGATCTTTTGGACAATGACTCAAACACTTGGGTAATAGCTCAAGCTCTTGTATAAACATTAAATTATGTAGAGATTTGAAAGTCACAAGATCTACAAAGTAATATTATGCAGCATAGCATAAGGGTTTTGTTGTGTGTTCTTCAATAGAATGACTTGTAAATCAAGGGTGGATGCCCAACTTCATGCCCTTGAATCTTCTAGCTCAAGTATGATAAATTCATGATCTAGGATGTTTTGGAAAGCTTGAAACACCCTCTATAACTTTCATGTTGGCCATTTTGACAAAATCATCTTGGAACTATGTGAAAAAATGCCAAGAAGTTGGGATAAAATCCTGCACAAAATCTGTTGAAAATTTCTCTAAGTGTTAAATGAAAATGTCATGACTTCATGAATTTATAACTTGAGATTCAAGCATATTTAGGAGAAGTTATGTAAAGAAATATTGTAGATATCATGGAGATCTACAACTTTCATGTTGAAAGCTTCTTTTGAATCATCTTACATCTTGGTGAAACAGTGGCATGAAGTGATGAAATTATCATGTATAAAAACACTTAGAAAATTTCTAAGTCTTGGAAATCTTGACTTTTCAAGTTGACTTTTGACTTTCTTAACTTCTTGATGATCAAGCTTGATATTTTTTAATGTCTTGATGAATTGTGGTATTTGAAACATAATGTTGACCAAAAAGTCAAAGTTTGACTTTCCAGTATACAATTGACCATTTTGCCCTTGTGCCAATTTCAAGCCTAAATTGATGTATCAGTGCTACAAACTTGATGTCGTAGAATATCTTGTGAGAAAATACTTGACAAATTAGAGGATAAGTTTTAGGATACAACAACTGCCCCTGTTCAATCTTCTTAAACCTGAAGAGTTAGATTGGCGAGTTCTGTCATTCGTGACTCGAAGGTGGAAGATGATTGGACACTAGAGTGCCCAGAAATCTACACTCGGTGATGGGATGATAGGAGGAATGGGCTTAAAGATGCCATTTGGAGAGGTGATAGAATCTTGTTGGGCATGGGCTTGTAGATGCCATCCAAGAATGCTTGTTGAATTGTAATTTGTAAGTTGAAAGAATGGGTATCAAAATGGCGTCTGTTTCTGGAGCGTATCTGAATTGTATCTGAAAGTTGAATATGAATTAGTATTAGGATGGCATCCGTATCTAGAGCATATCTGAACTGTATCTGAAAGCTGGATCTGAATGAGTATCAGGATGGCATCTGTATCTGGAGCGTATCTGAACTGTATCAAAAGGTTGAATCTGAATGAGTATCAGGATGACATTCGTATCTAGAGCGTATCTGAACTGTATCAAAAGGTTGAATCTGAATGAGTATCAGGATGAAATCCGTATCTGGTGCGTATCTGAATTGTATCAAAATGTTGAATCTGAATGAGTATTAGGATGTCATCCGTATCTGGAGCGTATCTGAACTGTATCTGAAAGCTGGATC